GGGCCTTTACTTGAGGCTGCCGCGGGTAAAAACCACTGCATTCTGTTAAATAATGCCTAAAATACACTTTTGCGTTCGGTTTTACCTATTTCATAATAAATCGTCATGAATCTTTATAAGATTGACAACACGGTGTTAGTGGTTCTTAAAACAGGTGTTGACGCGGTTCTACGTGAATAATTAATGTATCCGAAAATAAATGACGATTACGTATGAGCACAATTCCAACACATACGTTGTACCATTTGGGAGATACATGTATATTTCTATGCTAGTGCGTGGGATCGATTTGGCAATTTCCGGTCAGTTGGGTGGGTGTTAAACAGCATTTTCGAGTTTCTTCGAACTTCATAAGTAAATTGACACGTCACCCAGAAGCTTTCTCGCCTGGAAAGTGTTCATCGTACACAGTACAGAGACGAGCAATCAAAGGCATCCTACAGCTAGGTCAGTACGTTAGTGATTTTGTTTGTTCTTGTAGCTGATTACTAGTATAACATTGAATAATAGCCTCAGAAATGTTGTTGGCATGGTAATGGAAATCAAATAATGCAGACAATGCCGTATACTTGAATATTCTTGATTGAAAAACAAAACTTGACTGGTAATATATAGCTTCTCTAACATTTGACCCAGTTTTCTACTAGAAGATTTGGCACTGTTTTCAGTGAAAAATGAAGCTATGAGAAATATTAAAATGTTTTGTTTTTCCGTGACGTGCATGGCAACCCCTCATTTTGTTTCCGACTGAAATCAAATTTCTATGACCTGTAAATTATCAACAACAAAAATAGTTTCAACGCAAATTTCACATTTAGTTATGATTTGTAAAATGTTTACCATTCCTCGTTACTACAGTTAGATTAGGTACGTATGTTCAATGGTTTTCCCATGAATGCTCAATTTGACACGCCTATTAGAAACCAGGAAACGACATTTGGTTTTAAATTGGTAACAGGAAAACGTGTGTTATGTATTTGTTACCATTTTCCAGGCTCTCTGACGATATATTTAATACAACACTTGCCAGACGCATAGCATGACACGATTTAACGTGGCACTATCGAGATTTCGGGTAACCGAATTATTGTGAATGGGGTGACACTCAGCTGATATATATTTAATTTTACACATATACTATCTGTGCGTTTTGTTCAAGTGTGTGCGCGTATTTTGTATAATTACCCCTCGTCTATGGGAATGAATGTAACCTTAATTGACGGTGGTCTTTTTTATCAGTTCGTTGAACGAGGCTGTTTTTCAACTATTTATTTGCCCAAGAGTTGATCAGATATATGTCACCCTAACTTTATTTTAGATAAAACAAAATAACACAATTATTATTATTTTTTTTAATTCCGGGAAAAATATTTTTTCTACCCACAGAGATCAATAAAGATCAAACAAAAACAAGTGAAATGTAACATGTGGGTTGATTAAGTTCATTTATATTTTTGGGACCAACCAAAAACTGAAAAACTGATTTGGGGTAGGATACCAGCAACAACTAAATTATAAGGGCCCTTTTATGTAAGTTTCTAACCTTTTTATTACTTTCACTATTTTGTTTCCTTGTAATTTAGCCTTGTGAAATGTTTTTTTGTTGTTGCCATTTTGGTCTTATTTAACTATTCTGTTTGGTATATAAAAATAAAAAATGTGATATGCAATGTCAATATCTAAATGTTTCTTTTAATTTAAACGTGCATTTTCAACTCATACCGTGTGTAATTACAGGCATCCGTCCCATTGTTATTAACAGTTAAACAAACTGAGAAAGAAACATGATCCCGCTTTAATCACGTGTGCTTTTGTTTTATTACATTAAAGCGAACCTAAATGCGGCCTTAATTTATAGTTGTGTATATTCTAAACTGTATTCGAAATAATATTGCAGTGGTTTAATTTTGTTTTAATTATAACTGTAGCTTGGATAGGCATTTGAAGTGCTTGCCATGGAGGCCATTCATGGAGGGGAATAATTAACGAACGAACATATTTAACATCCGGGTACTTTCAAAGCTATGACGT